CTCTCTCTCTCTCTCTCTCTCTCTCTCTCTCTCTCTCTCTCTCTCTCTCTCTGTGTGTGTGTGTGTGTGTGTGTGTGTGTGTATGTGTGTGTGTGCCAGCCTGGCCAGTAAAACAAGGCCCAGCCACAAATAGACAAGCTGGGCCAAAAAGTGCCAGAGGTTTGAACAGGAAGAAACAGTGCCTGCTCAGGCAATAACGAGCTGCAATAGACAAACGTGGAGCGCAAAGAAAATTGGAAGAAAAGTGAAATGAACTCGGAAATATAGATGATCTACTTCCCCCGGCCCCTCGCAACCCCCACATGGCCTCTCAGCCGGTCCTAGACCCCCAAGGAGTCCCAAGCGGCTGAGGGGGCTGAGCCTCCTGGTCCAGTGTGGAAGGCCCCAGTATGCCTCACTGCACTCCGGTCAGTCATGATGGTGATGGAGTGCTAGGGCACGTGGAGGGAGAAGTAAGAGCAATGGAGAACATGAGACATCAAGGGGGAGAAGAGGGTTTGCAGAGGTATGTCTTCTTCTGTCGCTTCTGGCAATTGTAGGACAATAAGATTATGAAAAGGATGATGCATATGAAAGGACTTCATGCCCGATCGGGCCCCAAAGTTCCAGGGTCCCATGTACCATAGTCCCATCCAGTAGCAATGACAGCAGAACCTGAAGAGGTGATGTGGATAGAAGGTGATCAGAATGTACTGGTGAAGCAGAAGGGAGGTGGAACACGGAGGAGGAGAGCAGAGGGGCAGGTTAGACAACCAGTACTCCACCATGGTGTTTTGTTCTGCGTCTGTGCATTTGTGAACGTCGCTTGGAGTCTCGGAAATTGCTGTGGCAGAGGTTGGGGCAAGGCACTTATGGAAACCTGGGGCGCATTCCTACTAGCAAAGCGGATCGGATCTAACACCTGAATCTGGATATGTTTGCGGAGAGGTGCAGACAATCGCAATTGATCTGCTTTCTGCATCTCTACATAAAACAAATCCAGATCCAGGCGCTTAATCGAATCCTCTTTGCAAGTGGAATCTCGCCCCCGGTGGGCTGGGGGCAGTGAACACACAGATTTCCCGCAGTGCAGAAGAGGGGGGGGGGGAGAGGTGCAGAAGGTGTCATCCACGGCTGTGTTAACTGAATGCGGAACTGGAAGCACTGACTTGTGTGTACATTCAAGATGATGATGTTTGTGTAGCGAAAACTGGCCTGTTTTCCACTGCCCTCTGTTAGTTCGAGGGCTGTGAGAAACGGCTGGCCTGTCTATTTCTCGTTCCTGTGCTAGCCGAGGTTTTCTTCTTTGCTACTTTTTTTCCTTCTTCTTTGACAACGATTTCTTTGTTTTTTCATGCTTGTTTGGTTGTTGTTGTTGTTTGTTTATTTTTTTCTTTTCCTTTTTTTTTCTTTGTGCTTTTTTTCTGTTTTGCGGTCTCCACCTATAGTTTGGCCAGAAAGAGGCTCGGGACCTGGCTGTGGGCAGCGAGTACTGGTGGTTTAAAAGGACATCTACTGATCAGCATGCTCGCATCTGTCTCTCTCTCTCTCTCACACACACACACACACAAACACACACACAATCACACACAATAAATGCGGAATCACATAACCTAAAACGATGTGAACGTAAAGTCAACATGGGTGTGTGGGACAGGAACAGGAGGATGAAAATGCACAAGTCGATGGGTGTGTGGGAAATGGTAATCGGGAATGAAATTTGGCAAGTGAGTCAAAAAGAACTGGTGCATTATTAGCATCGGAAATATAAGGGAAAAAGCTGGAGAACAAGGAGCTGAAGGGGAAAGAGGAGCTGAGGGAGAACGAGGAGCTGGAGGAGGATGTACAAGAGGTGGAGTGCAACGAAGAGGAAGAGGAAGGCTGTTTTGGACCAAGAGCGGAACGGGGAGGACGGTACGAGGGAGGGAATGCGGTTGCCAAGGAAGGAAAACTGGCGGGGGKGGGGCCGGGGCAGGACTGGAGAGAAGGAAGAGGACTACATTTCTGCTTTTTCTTGGACAATCCATATGATACTCTTGTCACTTCAAAGCTTAAAGTTTGAACTACTTTGTCAGCTCTCTATTTAAGCCAAGCTAACTAACTTGACTACACTTGCATAATAAAACTTGCATTGATATGTTATATGTAACCATCAGCTGATCACTCTTACCATATTCTCATCGCATGCGTCTCCCATAACTATCTCATTCTTCCTGACCTTCCGGTGTCATATCATGACAAACTGTGAAAGGTTTGCTATATGTACATGACATCCATTTTGATTACTGTATGGGTTATGTGTCTGCATTCTTTTTTGGCTCGCTTGTGCTCTTGTTCAGATAATCATGCTGTTGAAGAAGAATCTCAGGCAGGTCTCTGTGCTCCATGTGTACCATCATAGTTCTATCGCACTAATCTGGTGGGTCGTATCCTATCATGCACCAGGTGGTGAAGGTGAGTGCGCTGTCTCCCCACATCCCTTCTTTCCGTCTCCCCCACCCCCTCTTTCAGCCCGGTCTCACTGCTGCTATATCCATGCTATGTGCTAATCTTGTTGGTCGTGTCCTATCATGCATCAGGTGGCGAAACGGAGGGCTCTGTCTCCTCGCATCCCTTGGCCGATTTCTGAAGAACCCTCTTTCCATCTCCCCCGCCCTCACTCCATCGGCCTAAGCCCCACTGCTGCTATGTTCATGCTTTGCGCCAATCTGGTGGTTCGTGTCCTATTATGCACCAGGTGCGTGAGTGGGTGGCCGGTCTCCTTCCTGTATTTATATTTAAATTAAGGAGCAAATCAACCAAGGGTAGCGTTGCCGAAGAATCGTGTTTCCGTTTCCCCCGCCCTCACTCTTTCAGCTCGGCCCAGCCGCACTTTTGCTATGCTCATGCTACGAAAGCACGTATGTGACTATGGGCCTCGCTGCACTACTCTCGAAATGTGCAAAACTAGAGTGAATCTTCCGCTAGAATATGGAAAGATACACCGCCAATATTTTTGTCTTTTGTGCATGTCGAGAGTAGTGCAGCGAGGCCCTATGTTTATTACCAAGTAGGCAAATGATTGGAGAATCATGTATAAATGACATGATTACACGCTGGACACCGAATTGCGAACAAACGGTGCAAGCAGTCTTATGTAAACAAATGGAACAAAAGTTCAGGTTTGTGATTTCCAAGCGCGAACATACTCCAACAGCAGCCTGTTGTTTGTTTTGAGGAAGAAGATGCATATTGAGCTGTCCACTGCTATTGAGTCTAACTGGGCAGTTTCCTAAGTGCTAAGTGAGCATGAACAATGAGTCGTTCGCTGCTATCGAGTTGAATTGAGGAGTTTGCTTAGTACTGACTATACCTTCTTCACCCGAACAGAACGCCCGGTCCTTATTGCTGTATCTAAGACCAAAAGTTGCCCCGAATACAGCTATAATGACTGGGCGTTCTCTATTCGGGTGTAAACGGTAGTGCTCCTGTTAAGCAGTTTGTGAAGTACTCAGTGAGGAACCTGAGGATGAATTAATCAGTTGCTTGCGGCTGTTGAGTTGAATTGAGGACCGTTTGCAGGTACTGCGCTGAATTGACGGCTCGTTACACCTATTGAGTGAAATTTAGGAGTTTGCTAAGTGATCTGCGGTGCTCCTGTTTTGTCTGAATGTGCAGCCTACTTCTCTGCTGCTCTAAACTCAGGGGTCCATGTAGCCATGTACTTGTACTATTTGCTGGCGGCACTCATCGGCAAGGACGAGAAGATCAGGAAGAAATATCTTTTCTGGGGCCAGTAAGTACATCTCTCCCTCCCAGCCATCCACCTTTTAGCTGCATGCAGCGTGACCCAAGGGTCAGCGAGCGGTATCTTGCTGTTGAGGTGGATGCCATGCAGCTGCGGGTCTCAGCGTAAATCTCTCCCTCCCAGCCATCCACCTTTTAGCTGCATGCAGCGCGACCCAAGGGTCAGCGAGCGGTATCTTGCTGTTGAGGTGGATGTCATGCAGCTGCGGGTCTCAGCTTTTATTTTGTGCAGGGCCCCTGTTCTTTTTTGGAGCTCTTTTTGAACTCCGAAAAGAGCTCGAACCAGTTTGTGATTTCATATTTGTTTTCTGATTTCTGCACATCTCAGCTTTATTTTGTGCAGGGCCCCTGCTGATCCTCTGGAAATCGGTGAGGCTTTGTGAATCGCCGCTGGCCGCGGCCCGCTCGCCAAGTCTTATGTGTCTTGGCCAGAGGTCCACCAAGTACCCTGACGACTAACTGATCACCAGGGTCATCCATCGACTCATCATATGGGCCGCAGTCAGGTTGTTTTTAACTACCACTGGCTGAAAGCCTTTCTGGGCAAGCCTATGCTGCTGGCCTGGGGTCCACCCAGTACCCTGACTACTGACCAATGGCCAGGGCCATCCGCGGCCTCCTTATATGTGGCCACAGCTCCCCGTGGCAGTGGTGATTTAGCAGACGTCAAGTCTCCTTGAAGGACGCAACTTTGCAGGCTGATCCAGGGTTTAGCGAAAACTGAAAAGCTCAAACACTTTCAGATGAAAGCCAACTTTCCCATCCCCACCTCACCCCTGCCCCTCCGACCGGTTGCCTCTCCCTCGCCTTGTCGAAGTCTTGTCTTGGACATCACAAAGGCGAGGGAGAGGCAACAGATGGGAGGGGCTAGGGATATCCAACAGCGGCGATGTCATTCCGTTGTTGCTGTTTCTGACTCTGTGCCACACTCATGCTCTGATCACTTCCCTGGATTCGCTGGACATCACAAACAACGTGCTTCGCACTCTTCTCGGTACGATATTGTCACAAGTCGGCACTCTTCCTTTCTCACTTTCCTCTCTTGCATTGAAAGGGGCTGGGGCTCGTTGCCAAGTTTATTATGTTCATCTGATTGCATCAGGATTTCATCTCACGGTCTGTTTACTACACGGTTGTAACCAGTGCTCTCCGAACCGTGCGAGATGGTCGGCCATCACACGGCTCTCCAACTGAAGTTGCCTTATTATTATATAAATAAAATAAATAAATAAGTTGGAGTGGCCTTCGCGCCCTTATTTGACTCGTTCTGACCCCCGCGTTATTTTATTTCTTTTTCTTATTTATAAAACTCACCGAGAATGAGTTGAGTCAATTCTGATATATGAAGCTTTTCCTTCGGCCTTAAATGTCAAGTAAGAGAGGCCTCTGCTTCCCGTTGCGCCTTTTATACCAGAGTAGTTTCATGTGTGTACTAGTCTTTCTTTCTTTGTTCCTTTGTTTTTCTCCTCTGGCAGAAGGAGAAGTTGTCTTGTCCTTGGGGACATCCGTTAAAAATGGGAATGATGCACAGAAGATTAGCATTGCCCCTGCACAAGGGCGACACCACACGTGAATCGAGAATGGTCCAAAGACTCCAAATTAAAATTATATCGAAAAAAAAAAAAACAAGAAGAAGCTGTGCACGCCGGGTCTCCCTACCGTCAAGCGAAGAAGCGTCGGTGTGGGTGCATGATGTATTATACCCCGACTTGCCGGTGGGGTAGTAACCGGACTGCCGCTCCCTAGAATGGATAAGGAGTCAGGGCCCTAAGGCCCTGTTTTTTTTTTTTTTTTTTTTTTTTG